ATGAAGATGAACTTGAAATCTTAAAGAACTTGAAGAACACCCTAGGAGAGGGTTTAAAAGAAAAGAAAGAAAAGTTGGGAGAAAAGAGAAGGAGGATTAGAGAGAATCCAATGGATGATGGAAAAAAGTGTGTGAAAGATGGTAACCCTAGCCTCCTATTTATACCCAAAGTGGGTACTAAAAGACAAAATAACAAAGCTTGGAGGCTAAGTTTACCGACACTGGTTACAATAGAACAAAAGTTTAACTAGAAAGTACAACTCTTAACCAAAGTCTAACTAAAAAGTACATAAGCTTAACTAAAGAATAAATCTGATTTTTCCACTAAAAATCCAGCAATTTCCAGCTATCTTCCATCTTCAAAAATTCAGCATCTTGTTCATTAAGCCCTCCAAAAAGTCGTGTAAGACTCAGGTCAACGTTGTACCAATGCTGTAGCATTTGCTGTTTTCACAAAAACTCACAATTAGCATCATTTACATATACCATCAAGTCAACCACAACATTTAGCTTCATAATAACAAAAGTATAAAGAAATAAATGAAAAAGGACTCAAAGTGGGAATGAAAAGAAATTATTGTAACTAAAAAGTCCTAAAAAGAGCGCGTTATGTGTTAAATTCTCAACACATATCATACCCCCAAACTTGAACCGTTGCTTGTCCCCAAGCAACCAAAAGACAAATATAAAGACTCAATATAAACTAAAATACATGATCAAGGCATTAAGTGCCTTCCCAAAGAGAGTTATAGCATCATGATGTTCATAGCCTTTCATAAATCTAAGATGTGTTACTCAAAACCAAGTTCTTTGCATGAACCATAGGCTAGCATTACCTTTTCTTTGTTAAGTTCAAACACAATCACCATATTAGGATCAATAGGGATTAAAGGGGTATTCTCTCATTGGCGAATCTTTTCTCTCATAGCCTTTTTCGCTTATGTACTCCACATACAAAATTTTCAAATTTTTGGGCCTTTTGGCCTCTTTTGCTTGGAGTGTGCACATAGCCCCTATGGGACTTTTGTTGTGCCATTTCATATCATTTTCTAAAACACATAGCCCCTATGGGACTTTTGTTGTGTTTTCAACACCCTTGTGTGATAAGGAGTCAATTTAGAGCTTTGCTCTTTTGTATTGACTTTGTGTCCTTATGTAAACTCCTCCCCCAAACTTGAATATGACAATGTCCTCATTGGCGTTATGTGGGGTAAATGGTGTTTAAAGGGTGCAAGTGGCTAACATGAGTATAGAAAAGATGGCCTATCTCATTTCCTCATGGTGATTGTGTGATTAAAGTGTTTTCCCAAAAAGGGTTTTGCTAGTTCTAGTCAACAACAAAGTACCATGATCAAATGATAAACAATCACTAAAATTATTCAGGTTATGATCTCATGTGTTAACAGTTCTCAAGTGAAATGATCATGCGTAAAAATAAGACTATAAATTATAAAAACTATTCCCGACTCAAAAAAATTAAAATATGAAGCTAAAGTAGGGTGGTAGAACCTGTCCTACTCCGGATGAGTAGGCTGTGTGCTCCGGGTAGCCACAGATGCAATCTGTGTCCTCAGTCTTTCAGTTTCCGTCTTGTATCTGTTCAACTTTTTCTGCATCTTCTTTATCTTGTCAGCTACCCCAATCTCTAATCCTTCTTTCAGCTTCTCAAACCGCTTCTTCATTCTCCTCTCACTTGCCTTTAACCTGCTCTTCAAGTCAGCCTGCATTGTCTCTAACCTCTCTACCATCTCGGTCCGCTGTTCAATCAAGAAATCCATTATACTTCCACTTTGCTCTAAGAGCTCTTCCATAGCTCTAGTCATATCTGGCCCTTCCCTGCCTCTCTCACTCCTCTCTCGCAGTCTTGAAACAGCCTTCATATCTATTGTCCATTTCTCCTCACACTCCTTAATGATTAAGTCATCGGTGTATTCTGGAACACCCGCTTTCAAAAGCAATTTGTGAATCAGGCCAGGGAAAAAGAGCTTCCCTTGTCTTCTCTTGGCGCAATACAGAATGGCCTTTTCCATAACATCTCCCACATTGATTGTTTTACCCGTGACCACACAGTACAACAGAATGATCCTCTAAACCGAAATGGAGCTATCGTGGGTAGTCGGGTTGAGAGAATATCGAATGAAATTCATCCAAACATTGGCATCGGGTTTTAAATTTGAAGCCCTATAGGTCTGTAACATGTAGTTACTGTGGGTATTCCATCCCGATCCGACCTTCCCAAGTTCACTACCGATTTCCTCCAGTTGGGCAAATGAGGCCGATTGAGAGAGCCTCTCAAAATCTGTTTCAGCCGGGGGTGATAGGCCCAAAAGTTTATTAATGGCCTTGGCCGAAGTACTCACTCTAACATTAGTGGTGCTAAAAACACAAGTCTCAGCGTAAAATTCTCTAATTAAAGACAGATTAAATGAACTCTTTACCTCACACAGTGTCTGCCAGCCCTGCCTATTGATCACATCTCGTATGAAACTAAACTCATCAAAACTCCTTCTGTCGAACCCTTTATCCGGCAATATTTTTTTGTTTTTGATCTTTGCATATTTCAGCTGTGCAACCTCAGAACTAAACCCATTAAACTGCATCTGAGGCCTAGGAATGGGTCGAGTGTTTGTCATGCTACGTGTGGTTCGCACCCGAGAAGGTCCGGCTGTATCTTCAGGTCTACCCGTAGCCGTGCGAGGTGATTTTCGAGGCGCGAAGACAGAGTGTCTAAGCTGGACAGACGGTGGTGTTCATCTTGGTCTCTTTTTTAAAGGCTGACTATGCACAACCTTTGACCTTGTAGCGAAAATCCGTCTCAATCCCTTCCTCTTTCTAGTAGGGATTGAGGTCAAATTCCGTACTTCGGCTTCCAAATCAGGCTCTACATCAGCCTCTACAACAGTTTCTTCATCAGGTTCTACATTAGCCTCATGATCATGCTCACTGTGTGGTGTACTAATGTCCTCATCCATTTCATTTAAATCAATGTCCTCAAGCCCAACCGATTCATCCTCACCAGTGTGGGGTATGGGATCGGTCAAAACAGTGGGCATTCGTGTGCAGGGGTGATTGTACCAAGTAAGCAAGTATATTTTTGGTGGACTCAATACAGTGGAGGGAGAGCATGGTGGAATAAAATGCTCATCCTCAGATGAATCGGAGGTTGTTAAACCTTCCACCAGTTCATGAAGTCGTGAAACAGGGTGTACCTCATTGCCCAAATTAGGGCTCGAAACAGTGGGTGGCGATGATGGTGGTAGTTGGTTGATGTCGATCATCCTCGCTAGTGGTGACGGTGGCGCAACATTGGATGGTGGAGGAGGCGACGGTGGGTTGTCGATTTCAGGTGGAGGCGACGGTGGGTGGCGCGGCGTGCGTCTCTCCCGCGGAGGTGAAGGGTCGGCGATGAGGGGAGTCACAATCGGCGGTCGTGGTGGCGACGGTGACGAGGGAGGAGGAGACGAGGAGGAGCCATCGGCGACGAGTTCAACCATCTCCGGTTCTACAGTCGATCGTGAGACGGAGGCGCAAGCGGCAAGCCCGCCGGCGGTTACTTCGCCGGACCGGCTGTGGTGGGTTTCTCATCGCGGTTCGCTTCATGCGTGCCATGGTGTTCGTCGAGTGGAGAGGAATGGAGACAGTGGGTTAATGAGAGTGGTATTAGTGAGGGAAGTCTTAAGTGAGAGTGGTTTATGGAGAGTGGGTTTGTGGGTAATGGAGAGTGGTTTTGGGTGATTTGAAATGAAAATCGGCGGGTGATGGGTGCAGGAAGCAGGCGGTGATGGAAAGTGGTTATGGAGAAGAGAAAGAGTCTTAAACTTTCTAATCCTTGTACTTGATGGGTTAGCAAGTTGTCAAAAATTTGTTTATCTAAAGGATAAACATTTAATGTGATAGAGTGGGTTAGGGGAGCATGGGGAACACAATCTGTAAAAAGGGGCTGACAAAGACTGTAGTGATGTAAGGATGAGGTCACTGTGTACTCTCCTGACTTCCTACAAAGATGCTTAAAATTTTCACATGTGAGCCTCAGAATGCTGCAGCATTGGCAGAACATCAATCTTCCCCTGAAAGATTCTTTGCAAACAATCTACACAAGACCAAACTTTATAAAACATAAAAGYTTTAAAACATAAAAGAAAAGAGGGAAAGTATTTACAAACAGATTTGGACTTGAAAAAGTCCAAAAATACCTTCAATCCTAAGGTATAGCCCAATTCTCAGAGCAATGCTCTGGGAATGCTACAGAATCATGAAATACCTTAACTCGCTGCCCATTCACTTTAAACAACGTGTTGTCCTCCGGATTAATGAGGTCAACCGCTCCATAAGGGTAAACTTTATGAATCACAAAGGGTCCGGACCACCTAGACTTGAGCTTTCCCGGGAATAGTTTCAACCTAGAGTTAAATAAGAGGACCTTTTGACCTTCTTTCAACTCCCGGTGTTGGATCCTATTATCATGCCATTTTTTTGTCTTTTCTTTATAAAGCTTGGCATTTTCATAAGACATTTGTCTTTGCTCTTCCATTTCACAAAGTTGAAACTTTCTTTTCTTTCCGGCCTCATCCAAAGACATATTGAGCTCTTTGATTGCCCAATATGCTTTGTGCTCAAGTTCTAAGGGCAAATGACATGCTTTTCCGTAGACAAGCTTATATGGAGACATACCGATTGGTGTTTTGAAAGCGGTTCGGTACGCCCATAAAGCATCGTCTAATTTAAATGCCCAGTCCTTCCTATTGGGTTTGACCACTTTTTCCAAAATGCTTTTGATTTCCCTATTAGAAAGCTCTGCCAAACCATTAGTTTGTGGGTGATAGGCCGTGGCAATTCTGTGGTTAACATTGTATTTTTCAAGGACTCCTTTTAATAAATTGTTCACAAAGTGAGTACCCTCGTCACTAATTAGTGCCCTAGGGGTACCGAAACGTGTGAAAATATGTTTTTGGAAGAACTTAACCACAGTTTTTGCGTCATTTGACACACATGCCATAGCCTTCACCCATTTGGAAAGGTAGTCAACAGCCACAAGTATGTATTGGCAGTTATTTGATGGAGGGAAAGGACCCATAAAGTCTATTCCCCATACATCAAATAATTCAACTTCGAGTATCCCGTTTAATGGCATTTCATTCCTTTTGGAAATGGAGCCACTCCGTTGACACTCGTTGCACCTTTGTGCAAAGTTGTGGGAATCCTTAAAAATGGTTGGCCAATAAAAACCGGACTGTAAAACTTTGGTTGCAGTTCTTTGGCCTCCGAAATGGCCTCCGTATGGTGCATGATGGCAATGTTGCAGGATGGCTGCCACTTCAGATTCGGGCACACATCTTCTCAAAATCTGATCTGCACCAAGCCTAAACAAAAATGGTTTGTCCCACAGGTAAGACTTAGCATCATGAAAGCATTTTTTTAACATGTGGCCTGTGTAATCAGAGGGTTTTATTCCACATGCCAAGAAATTAGCTATATCCGCAAACCAAGGTGTTTTTGGTTGGTCAATCAAGAGGATTCTTTCAACGGGAAAAGTATCACTAATGTCTATTCCTCATCTCTCGGGCTCTTCCAACCTAGACAAATGGTCCGCAACTTGATTCTCTACCCCCTTTCTATCCAGAATCTCTAAGTCAAACTCTTGCAATAAAAGCACCCATCTTATCAACCTTGGTTTTGCATCTTTCTTTGAAATTAGGTACTTGATGGCTGAGTGATCAATATGCACAATGACTTTTGTTCCCATCAAGTAGGACCTAAACCTCTCAAAAGCGAAAACTATGGCCAATAATTCTTTCTCAGTTGTGGTATAATTAATTTGTGCTTCATTCAAAATCTTACTTGCGTAATAGATTGAATGAAACACCTTGTCTTTCCTTTGTCCTAGTACAGCACCTACCGCCCAATCACTAGCGTCATACATGATCTCAAAAGGTTTGTTCCAATCCGGGGCAACTACCACTGGTGCGGTAACCAAAGCTTTTTTCAAAGTTTTGAATGCATTTCTGCATTCATCATTAAAATTGAATTTTTGGTCATGCTGGAGGAGTAAACAAAGAGGTTTTGAAATCTTAGAAAAATCTTTGATAAACCTTCTATAAAAACCGGCATGACCCAAAAAGCTTCTGTTTCCCTTAACTGTGGTTGGTTCGGGTAGTTTTTCAATTACTTCAAGCTTTGCCTTATCTACCTCAACCCCTCTTTTTGAAATCAAGTGTCCAAGAACAATTCCTTCCTTGACCATGAAATGACATTTCTCCCAGTT